AACGCTTGTTGATCGCAATTGATCGGCCAGATGCCGCCATGCCGGTTCGCATCAGCTTGCTTGCCGCCGTGGAGATGTTGAAGGCGGCGTGGATGGAACTCACCGCGGAGTGCATAGCAAATTGCTTCCGCAAGGCGGGTTTTATGGGCCCAGGCACCGAGGACGCCATAGATCACCCACAGGAAGGCCGGTCGCACGAGGACTTGTGGCAACGCGTCGTTGACACGCAGCTGGCCGGACCTGACGTTGCCTGGGACGATTTCGTTTCTGCTGATGACGACGCCGACATCGCGGAGCCGTGCACTGACGAAGCTATTGTGCGTGAAGTGCGAGCCCTTCCCGACTGCCCAGAGACCGACGAGGACGATGACGAGGATGCTGCTCTACCGCCGGTTGCTGTGAACGCTTCAACCGCGATCGGTTACATCGCGTCGCTTAAGGAACTCGTGTGCAGCAGAGGTCTTGGTGATGAACATATTACCGCGCTGGAAAAATTAGAAACGGCAGTGATGCGATCAGCTTTGAAGAAGCAGACTTGCATCATGGACTTTTTTCAAAAATAAAGTTAACTTTCTTCTCGCTTGCTCTTTTTGCCTGTATTATAGGTGGTCCACTTACTACGAACTTTGGATACAACGAACAAATGCCGCGTGGCGATCAAGTTCGTTATAAGTGGGCTCGTGATAGCGATTCGCAAATTAACCCGAATATACGGCAGTGAACAGCACACGGCACGCCCGACTCCCGGGGGATGGCAGCACTTCTTGTAAGAGCCACTCCGGAGGCCGCTGGAACAGCCTCACGGCTCACTCGGCTCACTCACCCCGCGGCTTCGCAGTTTTTCGCACGATTCACAATAGCACACCGTTTGATCGAGTGACGAGATCATGCTGGAGCACTAACTATGTTGTTTTTTTTGTATTGACACGCGTGATCCGAGCCTTTTGGGTTTTCGGTGCTCGTTTATGGCCATTCTTCACTCAGAAGCAACCAACAACTGTGCTGTTGGACGCAAGTTCGACCCGTCGGAGCGGGTGATGCTCCAGTGGAGTCTGCAGTGGTGCGGGATCTTAAACTATGACGGCAAACAAAGAGGCTTCCGTAGGCCAAAGTCTGGTTCCGGAGTTGAAAGTCAGGCTTGCAACGTGCGCTGCAAAAGTGTGCAATCGGTCCCTACCCGTGACGTCCAACGCAATCGCCGAGCAAGCGCAGAAGATGGAGTTGACTTTGTCATTTGCGAAGTGCGAGATCTCTTTGGACGACGCCGACGACATGGGTCCCCCCCTTGGCTACGTGCCTGGCTCCCATTACCAGCCATGGGGGTGCCTCCATCAGTGGAGACATGCCACAGTACCCTGCCATGTCATATTGGCACCTAAAGTGCCATTTGTGCAAAGTCTGTAAATGCAAAAATTTTACCCCGCAGAATGAATGCTCTCCTAAATATGTGTAAATTTTTTTGAAAAAAAATGTTCGCTATGCGTGTAAATACGGTATAGGTCGAAAGTCTTTGGTTACGATTATAGGACAGCCTTTAATTTTGGAGAACATTTCTGGGGAAAAAAGGTCAACCTATATCGAATAACTACAGTACAGTGAAAGCTCATTAATTCACAACTCATTAATTCAAACTTATGGATAATTCAAACCAATCGCCATGATCCAGTCACGCAGCATAGAGGTATGTGTGTGAAACAACCCGTTAATTTGCGCTCAAATCGTTTCCGGCACCGACATTGCAGACCGTGTACCGCCATGCATGGTTTCCCAGTCAAGCGATAGGTGGCGCAACGGGAGCCACGTTGCTTGCTAAATGCGGCAGGCGTGTTGTCAGAAACGCATGAGCGTTGCCGGTACCCACTGAGGACCAATAGGAACGCGCACACTGATATTTGGAGCTACGTCATCGGGAGTTCAATAGGGTCTCTTTAGCCCTTTTTGAAGCATCCAGCCTCCCTTTGTTCTCCTTCTCCGCTTTACCAGTTCTGTTTCTGTGCCTCGTTGAGCCAGGCCCACTCTGTAGAGCTGTTGCCACCATTGTGCGATCACTAATCGTTCCATTTGTGCTTGTGACTTGGCTGGTGGTGCTAGATGCAGGACAGTGCTACGCACTTTGAGACCACAATGTCGTCGTCGAGTGGACTGGCCTGAGGAAAGTATCGCGCCAAAACGCTTGGAGAGAAAGTGGAAATTTCGCATGAAGTAAATGCAGGAAAATCGAGCAAGGTCAAGATGGCCAAGAAGCACGAGATCCCGAGAAGCACGTTGCCTACATACATCCGCAATAACATACATACATCCGCAAAACCATCAAGAGTGCCTACGAAGTTTTTGCCCACGACAGGAGAAGACTTTGCTCTGCCAAACACCCGTTTTTTGAGAAGGTGCTCATCATGTGGGTTAAAGACATGAAAAGCCAAGGTCTTCCTCTCAGCGGCCCCATCATTATGGCGAAGGCAGCGGAGTTCGCACTGCATTTGAAACACCACGACTTCACCGCGTCTGAGGGATGGTTTCATCGCTTCCATCAGAGGCAAGACCTCGTCTTCCGTACCATGTCTGGTGAAGGTAAATACGTGAGCATGGGGACACTTGCGTGATGTGACGAAATGGATCCCTCCAGGGCTACCTGGATAGCTACTTGCCACGTGACATCTTCAATGTGGATGAAACCGCTTCATTTTTCAAGCTCTTGTTGGACAAAATGGTCGCATGCGAGAGAGACAAATGCGCAGGCAGGAAGCGAAGTAAAGAGCATGTCCCTGCCTTGGTCACAGCAAACATGACTGTAACGGAGAAGCTTCCCCTGCTTTTAATAGGAAAGTCGATGAAGCCTCGATGTTCCAAGAACATTCGTACACTGCCCACGGACTACGAAGCCAACAGAAAGGGGAGGATGTCTGATGAGGTGTTCAAGAAATGCTTAGGAAGCTGGACAGAAAGTCAGAATTGAGCAACCGACAGATCCCGCTCATTGTAGACAACTGTTTAGCGCGCAAGGTCGATGTGGAGCTGAAAGCGATTAAACTAGTGTTTCTTCCGCCAAACATGACTGCAGCACTCCAGCCCATGGACCAGGGTATAATCAAGAACATCAAGTCCTTCTACAGACGTTGCATGCTAAAACGAATGATTATTTGCGCGGCCAAAGGAAACCAGACTTATAATGTGATGCTCCTCAGCACCATGCACGTGCTGGTCTACACATGGGATCAAGTCACCGCCGCAACATTTGCGACCTGTTTCCGTCACTGGTTTTAGTGTCTTGGGTAGAGAGGCGACTGGCAGCGACACTGGAGAGCATGAGGTTGTTTCTGAGGGCATACGGGATCTGCTGCAGGACGCGGGTTTTGCTGATTACATCGATGTAGACGGTAGCACGGTGATCTGTGGCGCTATGACAGACGGAAGACATCATCGCTCAAGTAGGTGGCGAACCCATTGCGGAAGCAGAGAATGACGTCGAGGAGGAGAAGGAAGTGGAGGAAACTCCAATTCGGCTATTTGTGCCGGAGGTCATGGATGCACTGAACGTTGTGTGTCTTTTCTGCAGCTTTGAAGAGGGCGAAGAAGATGCCTTGCGCTTGGTTCTCTTGTGAAGTAAAAGGGCACTACAATTTTTTTCTTTCTTCTTTTTTTCTTTAATTTAGGCCGCCTCGGTGACTCCGAGGCGAGAGCGCCAGCCTACGGATCCTTAGGTGGTGGGTTCGAATCCCGACCGAGGTGCCCGCAATATGACGGAGGCTTATTGCGGAGAAGGCGCCGTGTAACCGAGCTTTCGGTTGCACGTCAAAAGATCCCCAGGTGGTCTAAATTAATCCTCAGTCCTCCGCTGGGGCGTGCCAGATGCCCGTCGTTGGTTTGGCACATAAAACCCCCAAATTTGACTTCTTTAATTTGAATTTTGTTTAGCTCAAATATTTTTAGCATCCCCACGCAATTCGAATTAACAAGCTTTGACTGTACTACAAAACTTTATGTAAAACAGGCTGTTTGCACAAAAATTAAAGGAAGCATTTTATTGGCCTCAAATGTGTGTTTTTATTGCTCCTATTCATGATTCGTGGTCATGAATAGGAGCAATTTTATGTAGAGTCTGTGCATACCCTGAATGCAACACCACCTCACTTGTGATCGGAGAGTCGTGTCACCGCTGAATGACCTTACATGCGTTTTATGGTCAAAATGTTGCGCACTGTCGAGAATTCATTCAGTAAGACATAGGCAATATGTACCACTAGTTGACAAAGTTTTTAGCTCTGCACTGTCCACTCTGCCTGGCATAGATTATGTTGGAGTTGAGCAAAGCAACGTTGGTTGCGTTCAGGACCATGTTCTCCTAGCTCTTCGCTAGCTTGCACAGCCCCCAAAAAGCGATCCACCCTCCAGTCATATTTGTCGACGGCACCTATTCTGTGTCGTAGTCCAAATCGCACCTCGGCACTGTTTGTTAGATTATTGCCGCATTTGAAGTTACTGGAAAGGCACTCATCAGAAATAATGAAACACCTGTCACTTTAAAGAATAGTTTCTGTGTGCATTCATCAGCTAAAGCAGACATCCTCATCGAGGTCGCATAGCTTTTGCGTGCACTTATTGAGGGCAAAATTAATTTTTTTTTTTTTTATAGAAGAACAAAAAACCCTGGCTTGACAAAAAAGCAAAACAAACAACCCAAAGGGTATGGAGCAATGGTGGTAGTGCTGGCCTCTGCTGGAGAGCACTTGATCAAAGCTCTGAAACGACTGTGCAGGTCAGACTCAAGGTTGGGCTTCCCGATTCTTAAAGGATAACTTGAGCCATTCCCGCGATTGGTAGTCGAGGAACTAAAAACCTAATTACGGGTCATCATAGCCAGTGACTTTAAGCAATTTGCGCGAAAAGTGCAACACGAGCATCATTAGTTAGCGTGCAAAATATGAGATGTTGGGCTTGCACGCAGCTCGATTTGAGCGCGTTAGTACGCCTGGGCCTAAGGCTTCTCGACCCCTCTCTTGCAGGCTACGGTACTGTACTACCTGGGCCTCAACTACCTCACCTGGGTGGAGAACGGGAACATCTCGGAGCGGCTGCGCGATGTCCTGCTGGACCTCTGCCACCTTTACCTGCTGCACGGGATCTACGAACAGCCCGGCTTGTTCCTTGTGGTGAGTGAGCACCTCTAAACGTTTTGAGGCCATTCGAACGGGAGCATTGCCAGGATTTCTCGAATTCCCTGCACGAAACTCGACGGAAAGAGCCGTGGTACGGGATTTGGCAGGAGACGCGACTAGTCTGCAGTTGCGCTACGTCGGCAGAGAGCGTGCCTGGCGGTTGACCGTCCTGCCGTAGCTCGTGCTGCGGCGAACCGGTTGACGGACAGTCAGGTGGCCACGTGTTGGGACGACAATGGCAGGCTCTTCCACGACCGGTCACCATGATTGCAACAATCGCCACCGTGAAATTTCAGTTCCTGTGACATACTTTTTTGCCACTTTGGTTATGCTCTGATGTGCATGCAATATACAATGCCGAATGCTCTAGTCGGAGATTTCTTCCTGGCACCACGGCGACCCCGTTGTGACCGGGAGGCTCATGCAACGTTGGCTTTAGTCTATTGTCGTCCAAATTTATTCAGGATGATTGCGCAGGAAGTATTAGTTGCAAGGAATTGGTACTACCGTAATATCCAGAGTTGTCGCCCACCCCCTGCTGCCTGAGGTTCATAAAAGTGGGATGAGCCATGTTTTGGTGGGTAAACATAAAACATTTTCGAAAAAGCTAAAAGAAGGCCCATTTTTTTGTACATATCGAGCACGGCTGCACAACAGATACATTTAACTTGAAACACTAATTAGTTTGATTGTTTAATGTAAGAAAGGATCATGAAAGAATGTTTTATTATCGCAAAGTCTGTTGCTTGCACGCGTGCGACGAACACCGCCGATCGGCTTACAGTATGAACCTTTCTTCCATGAAAGCACGTTTCTAGCACTGCTATGTTCAATTTGTTAGTAAAAAAAAGTCAACAAGAAAATGCGAAAACCAACCAGGTGCAACGAGCGAGCGGGCGAACGAAGCGACCGGGAAAGACTGCGATCATGTTAGCAGATACTTTGGCGTCTGGCCAAGTTGGGCGCCTGGTCAGTCACAAGGAGCAGACTCTTGTGCAACTTTCCTGTTTGGTGCATACATGCGTGCGTCTGTGCACGGCGTGTTATCAGCGCTGGTTGAGGCGGCGTTGTTGCATGGTGTGGGCGGCACCACTAACATGGTGCTCAAAATGGGACGCGTTACAAGCGTCTGTGTGCGGCGTTCCACGAAATCTATTTTTTACCCGTTGGCTTTTTCTCAAACATTACACAATCGTACCACCCGCGGTCGCAACATAGCAGGAGAAGGAGCAGGTTCACGGTGACCTTATTTCGGTGGAGACGGACTTTGACCTTACACTCCACAGTTACATACCAGGCTATGGGGCATTCGCTAACCTCACGATCCCTGAATTGGTCACTGCTTGTGCTATCTTTCCGACCTTTTTTCTTTTTTTGTACACTTTTTTGTAAACAGTTAAAAGTATCATTTTGTTATCTCCATCCTTTTTTTTTCCGCACGGATGTACTCCTACTTTGAGGTCACTTAAATCCAGGAAGAAATGGGTTAACAAAGTGAAGTGCCTTTCCCTCCTTCGTTTTACCTTGTCACAGACGTCCTCCAACCGTAACGTCTCATGCCGCGTCATTCAGGTAGGATGAATGTTCGCGGTTTGTGGAGTCCGCTTTGGAATATTTGTAAAGGTGGGCGATCACTCCGTGTTTTTATAGCGAAGCTATTATGTGCTAGGATCTGGAAAAAAATGCATCCGCAGACGTTGACAGAAAACTCTCCATTGGTCGTGGCAAGTATGAATAAATAAAAATGAAAAGGTTGCAACCAGCGTGAGTTAGCCCTCCTTGGCATTATTAGATTTTATAGCGAAGCTGTGATGCGCTAGGATCTGGGAAAAAATGCATCCGCAGACGTTAGACATGTGCGAATATTCGATTTTCCCAAATATTCGATCGAATAGTACATTATTCGGTATTCGCTTCGATCCGAATTCCGATATTCTAAAAAGTTTGAAGTATTCGGCACTAACGAATAGCGGAAGGAAGGCCGATTGTATCTGGTAGTTCCGGTTTCGGTTGTTACTCACGAAAGCCGCACCGGCATCAAGAAATAAAAAATATCCAATCCAATCCAAGACATGCTAAACCAATCAGAAAATCGTGCGTCGCAGCTCCACAAAGGATTCCGAAGTGTGCTGGCTTTAGGTGCTGCGTGTTCGTTCGTATGGCTGACGGGTCATCAACGGCAGCCGGAAACGATGAAACTGAAGCCGGTGTGTATCGAAATCCGATATGGAACTACTTCTTGAAAGTGCCACCGGGAAATGAAGCTTGGTGCCTCAAATGCAAGGCAGTGCTGAAAACTCTAACGGGCACGACAACGACCCTCGCAACGCACCTGAAAAGGCACCCTGATTCGTACAAGACTTTCGAATGTGAGCGTCAAGCACGCGGGAGTGCCGTCAAACACAAGAACGGGAGTAAACCGAATCATCAGCAACCGTCGGTAGCCGACAGTTTCAAGCCCGAACTGAAACCGACTGCACCCAAAGTGAAACAAATGGCGGCGATAATAGCGAACTTCATTGCTAGCGGAATGCATCCGTACAGCATCGTAGAAGAAAGTGGTTTCGTTGAAATGATGAAGCTTGCCATGCCCGACTACACCGTGCCGTCGCGGACGACCTTCTCGCGGGCTGTCATCCCGGATCTATACGAGTCCAAAAAGAAAGAACTAAGAAAGAGTCTGCGAGACATTTTCAGTAGCGGAGCAGAATGTTACTTCATCACGACGGATGGCTGGACATCGTGCGCAAACGATAGCTACGTCTTCGTGACTTGCCACGTGATGGACAAAGAATTTGCACAGCACGTGCATGCACGCTTTGGTTTGTACGGACATGACAGTCTCCCACATGGCCGAAAACCTGGGACAGTTCATCAAAAGTGCTATCGAGGACTGGGAACTACCAGCACCAGGCACCATGCCAATTTATGTAGTCACAAACAACGCAAGGGATTTTACCTCAGCGTTTGCACGGTCATCGTGGTCTGGCGTGCAGTGCTTCGGACACACACTCCAGCTGTGCATCAGCAACGCCAAAAAAGAAGTGGCGGGTTTCTCGCAGTTATGTGCGAAAGCTAGAACCATTGTGGCTCGATATAAAAGGAGTGCAAAGGCTCGCGGGCACCTTATGGAAATCCAAAAGAACATGAACCTTGAGCCACTTGAAGTTGTGCAAGACGTTTCAACACGTTGGAACAGTGAACACGCCATGATGAGGAGGCTTGTGAAGCTTCGCGTGCCCGTCAGTGTGGAGCTGTCTGAATGTGACACAGTGGAACCTCTCAGTGCAAGCGAGTGGAGGCTCATGGCTGCAGTAGTGCAGGTCTTGCAGCCTCTCGAGCAAGCCACAGCTGAGCTGTCTGGAGACAGCTATCCGACCCTCTCCCAAGTGATTCCCTTATTAGAGTGCACCAAGGTTGTTCTCAGTCGACATTCTACCGATGAAGCAGGATCAGTTGCCTCGAGCCTCATACAAAGCATCAAGACACGATTTCCAGATGGGAAGATGTGTCGCCTTCTAGCCTTGTCAATGTTGGTGGACCCCAGGTACAAGGACGGGTGCTACACTTGAGAGGCAGAAAAAAAATGGGCATGCACACTCCTGACGAAGGCCGTCGAGCAGAGCGCATCAGTGGACGAGCCTAGTGATGCAGCCGCCGAGACCAGCAGAGGCATAGGAGACTCGTTAGGAGACACCCTGTGGGATGTCTTCTCCAGTCTTAGTTCTGACACGCACCAAAAGCCAGGCCACGAATTCGCTACCGAGTCTGTTGAGTACCTGAAGACACCCCTCCTTGCGCGCACAGAAGACCCCTTAGCATGGTGGAGGTGCAGGGGAAGGCATCTGTACCCATCCCTGGTCCGTGTTGCCCGTAGGTATCTCTCGATACCAGCAACCCAGACTAGGAGTGAAAGGCTTTTCTCAAGTGCAGGAAGCATCGTGAGCTGCAGGAGGGAGCTTCTCCTCCCTGATCATGTGCAGCAGCTCGTGTTCCTTCATGAAAATCACTGACTTTTCTTGTACTAAGTTTTGATTTGTGCATGAGCTTAAGTTTTGATTTGTGGCTGCGTTGCAGTGAAAATAAATGGTCTGTGAAGTGACCACTGCATAACTTTTGCTAATAATTTTTTCCTACAACTATTCGAATTATTCGCTTCGAAAATATTCAAAGCAAATTACTATTCGCTTGGAACTAAAAAAACACTATTCGCACATGCCTAGCAGACATTGACAGAAAACTCTCCATTGGTCGTGGCAAGTATGAATAAATAAAAATAAAAAGATGGGACAACCAGCGTGAGTCAGCCTTCCTTGGCATTATTAGATAGGTCCTGATCCCTTGTTATCATCTCTAGGCATTGTCTTCGTGGTCGTCCTAGGCGTCGTCTTCGAGGTCGTCCTGGAGGTCCTCCTAGACGTTGTCCTCGAGGTCATCTTAGGAGTTGTCCTCGAGGTCGTCCTAGGCGTCGTCTTTGAGGTCGTCTTCTAGGCATCATCCTTGAAGTCGTCCTAGACGTCTTCTGGGCATGGTCCTCAAGGTCGTCCTAGAAGTTGTCCTTGAGGTTGTCCTAGACGTCGTCCTCTAGGCGTCATCCTCAAGGTCGTCCCAGAAGTCGTCCTTGAGGTCGTCCTAGACATTCTCCTCTAGGCATCGTCCTAGACGTTGTAAAAATGACAGCTTCACTGGTCCTCCATCTTCACGTGAGGTGGAAGGGCTCTACAATTTTTTTGTGGAAATTATTCGCTCAAAAAGTTGGGTGGGCGATGACTCGGGATATTACGGTATGTTGTTGACTGCTTGGCACATGTGCACCGTTAACTGCCGATGTCACTCTAGGCTCAGTGAGCAGGTCTCGTCTTCTTAGTTACAGTGACGCAGCTTCTGGAAAGGAGGCAAGTGGGAGAAGGAAAAAAAGAAAAGATAGTAATAATAATCTTTATTTTCATCTGTCCACAAACAGCACTAAGCCTATAGAGTGGTACACCGTCATG